CAATTCAGCTGCAGGAGGGGTCTCATGACTGTGCCTTTGTATTTACTGCTCCAGGTGCCTGCAATGGCCTGGAAAAGGAGTTCTCATTCACTTTAAATGTTTGTATTCTTTACAGCTCAGTTAAGGTGTCAGTGAAGCCTTCTCTGCCATCATCCCTCTCCTTTACTGACCGGTCTCATCTCTCTGTTCTTCTGACACCTCTACAAGCTTATCGTTTTGAAATCTATTGACTTGCCATTCTCTCTCCTTATACTGAGCAGCTACAGAACTAAGATTCTAACTAGTTCATTCTTGTGTGGCTCTGCTTGGAGTACACAGAAGGTCTGCAAGAAATTAATACATTCATTGGAGGAAAGCTTGTCCAGTTTATGGGAGGCCTCAGGGAACTGATGTGGTACAGTGGAAAGAAAGCTGGAGTCAAGGTTGGGATCTGGCTCTAATTATTTGCATAATCACAAAGTATCTCAACCTCTGTGCCTGATTTTCCACCTCTAAAATCTGGTTAGAGGTTTAAGCGTTCAGCCCAGTAACTTCTGTGGTCCTTGCAATTTCAAGACTGGCCTGGGACTTGTTCCCGTTGATGCCTCATCCGCACCACACCCATGGCCAGTGTAAAGCTGCAGGCTGCCTCGGTAGCATTACACATCTGGTTATAGAGTTCATGCCCATGGCTCTGATTGTTGTTGTTGCTTGATTTTGTGGAATGGAGAAGGGATTTGTTATTTAATATTACACCGAACCCTTTTCTACATAATCAAGGTAGGCTTCAAGATGTAGATAACATAGATTATATCAACCCGAAGGCAGATCCACAAAAAATTTTAATTTCAAATATATAAAACTATGTTCAGTAAGGGAAGCTTTGAGAGGCAAAAACTTTCAGGGTACCATGTTCAAAAAGAGTGTTTTGTTATCTACTTTTACGTATTTCAAATTCAAAGATGAGAAGGGACAGTATGTAAAATTGATTTTATTGAACATGCATGTATACCAAATATAAAACTAGTTGAGCTGACAGATCTAGTTAGGTAAAGCTCTCTAAACAGATCCTATAAAACAGAATATTAGCAGTCATCATTTCTTATAGCCTTCTCATCTATAACAAAAGACTTTTGCCATTGGCATAACTTTGAGATTGCCAGAAAACATTTTTGATACTTGAAAGTAATAGTATGAAATATAAAATGGAAAAATATGAAATATATATTCTGAAAAAAATATTTTTTTAAAAAACAAATTTATACTTATTTGCTTGTTCTTGGTGAGAAACATAGAGCAGAACAAAGATCTGGAACATCCAATTTACACATGGTTACCACATTCATTTATTTTTCAGGAACCAACTTTCTGGCAGGAAAGAAGGATGCATGACTCCTCCCTGACACCCCACCAGGAGTTACTCATGAGTCAAATATAAGGATTTGGCTAAAGTCAGCTGACATTTCCTTGACATGTTTGCTCTCCGCCCTTACAATTACAGGCCATTACTTGAGAGATTGAGGACCATAACTAGTCTCCTAAGATCCCCTTGTTGTCTTGCCCCATGCCTCCATCTTCTGACATGCTTTTGTGAGTTACCTCTCTGAACCCCAAGTCTCCATTGCCCGTTCATAAAGTCCAAACTTGGTCTACACAAGACTTGCACCTTGGGCTTCCCTGGTGGCACAGTGGTTGAGTCCGCCTGCCGATGCAGGGGACACGGGTTCGTGCCCCGGTCCGGGAAGATCCCACATGCCGCGGAGTGGCTGGGCCCATGAGCCATGGCCGCTGAGCCTGCGCGTCCGGAGCCTGTGCTCCGCAACGCGAGAGGCCACAACAGTGAGAGGCCCGCGTACCAAAAAAAAAAAAAAGACTTGCACCACCTGATCACTCTCCCGGCATTTCTCCTCATCAGCCCTGCTCTGCTCTAGCCTCTGAACCACTTGCACTTGCCTGAATGCCCCATGCCGTTTCAGGCTTTCAGTCCCTGAATTAGAAAGTACCTCACTCTTCTGTGCCAGGCACGGTGGGGGCAGTTCTCGTGCATTTGCTCATGCTGTCCCCAGTGTGTAGAATGTCCTGCCCCAAATCTGTCCTTTTGGAAAATACTCCGATTTTCCAAGTCTCAATACAGTTCCTATAATTTTGACCTTATCAGTGAAAATGAACCACTTCTTTTTCTGTGCCTTCAATCAGCTCTATTGCAGAAAGTCTTAATACATCCTTCTGTGTATATGAGACCATCAGCTTTGAGGAGAAGGTCAATGTCTCATTCATCTTTTCATCCCCAACACCTGCAGAGCACCTGATACTTGCATTATTTCATTTTAGCTCTGGCTAGTCCTGTTCAGCCTTTAGCGAGGTATGGCAAAGAACGAAATAAGCCACCAAAAGCTGTATCAGACACTACTGGATTATCATTTCACAAGTTAGAATAGAAATTTGCAGGACCATAAGGATGAGTCTTAACTAATGAAGCCCAGAGGAATTCACTAGAGACATTAATGGCTCAGGGTTTCTTCCATAACCACAATCAAGGATATATTCTTCTCTTTCTACCTTGTTAAGCAACTAGTCAAACTGAGCACAACAAAACGAAAACTCTCCTTTTCTCCTAGTAGTTCAACAAATTCTAGGGAATATAAACCTTCCTTCTGGTTCCCTCTTCCCACAAGTATTGGAACGCGTCAGTATGAGGAGACCCGCCTCTTACCATTTCTCTGCCTGATGCTGGTACTTCCTCCTTCACACAGATTTCTCTGACCCTTCAGGAAGACTTCATTTCTTCTACCCCTCATAGAACTCACAGCACTGTGTATACTCTAATACAGGTAGTTAACAAATAATAATAATTCTAGACCATGAAATTGTAATAGGTCAGTGTCTGGCACATAATGAGCGCACGAATGATGAACTGAGTCTTGCTTTAAGGATATGAGTCAAGACTAAATACGTTCATTCCAACCTTAAGTACTTCCCTTGGCTTTTAATGAGGGATCATGATCTTTGAACACAGATTTAACATCACACAGTGGTTTTTGCTACCTGCAATACCAAAGTCTGCAGAAGAAGATGTTAATTATTTATGAGGACACCATCTTTTTTAAATGAATTTATTTAAACAATCGCTACATGAGTAATATACAGTAAGTGAAAAACCACTAATACAATGGAGTTCTCATAGTGGTTGTTTTTATGTATACACACTTAAGATAACTTTAAGTGGTTGGAATAGGCCCATAGAACACTTTATTCTGTGGTGTTTGTCATTTCATGCTTCAATTATTCAAAACATTTAAATAATTAAAGTTAAATCATTATTAAACTCCAACTGAATTTGTTTTAGGTAAATTAGTGGTGATGTACTAAAATCTGCTCTTAAATTTGTTTTGATTTGAGTGACTAACCCCACCCTCCTCATACCTCTCATTATGTGACTCATTATTTTGTAATTCTTGACAGTTTATAAAGCAATTTTAATACTTGAAATGCAAGTCTAGCTTGTAGCTTACTTTTTAGAATTTGGTAATTTTGTAAAAGTACTTGCATGCTTGCTCTAACACTGCTACATCTCAACTGATATTAAAACAGCCTCTGTGTAATCAACTTACATGCCTGGTGGTACTAAGACACTTAAAAATGATTTCTAATAGTTATTTCCTTTGCTCCTACTTGTTTGGGTTTTATATATTGCTGAAGCATCATTCTTTTAAGGATGTAAACTATACTGACTTAGCAATGAAATGGAACAACTGAAACAAATCTCAGGGCTTTTACAAATCATACAGTGCATTAGTAAGTGCTTTAAAATTAAACTATCCAATGACGACATACATGCAAGTTACACCACAGACGCAAGGGCATAAGAAAATGGATTGAACATGCTTTTACGTTCACTTCCACCAATGCTCTATACTAACTACACTGGTATGATAATAAAGCAATCAAGAACTAACTTAATTTGTCTGTCATCGGTCTGAGTGTATGTGGATATCTGTGTATTTAACTGGAACATACGCACCCCAACTATCCGAATTATTTCAATCCTATGTTCATTTTCCTCTCAGAGTGGTTTACAGTAACTACAGTGAAAAATAAAAGGAAAAAAAAAATGAATGCCAGGTTTCCTATTAAGTAAAGCCAAATCAAATCAAACTATAGCATTAGTAGCTATTTCTGCAGGAAAACACAGATTTCTATAGTTCTGGTCAGTTACTTTAGCATTAAACCTTACCTTTGTCAATATTGTTTCAAGTAATGAAGTTATTCTTGACCTATTGGAAATTATATATAATACGTGAAAAAATTGTGATTTTTAGGCCAATCATCAAACATGTTTTGAATAAGGGAAATTTTTTTTAGTTTAATATAATTTTTCAATGAAACAATATAAATTTACAATAAAGTTAGTGGTCTCATTCAGTAAATTTTCCAATCTTCTAATTCAGGTTTAACAGAGAAGAACAATGATTACAGGAGGGGAAAAAAAAAAAAACCCACAAATAATCTCCTGCGGCCATCATCTTAGGGGCTGATTTTCTTGTAATGGAGAATTCTAGCACAAGCTGTCATGTTTCCAAGATTCACAGTGCTTTGAAATGGAACTGCCTGGGAAGATTCAGAAAGGCTTTGTTCTTGGGCTTACACGGTAAGCACTTTGTGTGATTCTTAATCACATTTTTATCCAGAACGCAGTATTACAGGTCACATTTTTCTCAACGATGCTTATACTGATTTGTGCTCTATAAATATAAACATATCTACACACAGAATACACACACTGAAACGAGGGTATGAAGTTAGCCAGCCATCCATAAGCAGAATGGAATAAAAATTGCAGGAAGGGTAGTATATGATGCCAAACCCAGACAGACTATAGATGCCAATCCCAAGACTGCCGAAGCAAGAACACTTCTCTGATCACGAATAATTATCTTCACATTCTCACAAAACTGGAAAATAAAATTTAAGAATATTAGAAAAGGTGGCTAAACCTAAGAAGAATCACATATACCGAATAGTAGAGCTCAACTTTCCCAGCTATTTTCTATCTACCAGAAGAATTCGAATTTTTCTCATGATCTTGGAAAGAATTTAAGATGTTAATAGTTCAGTTTCTTGATTCTACATCCCATAGTAGCTGAAATGATACTTTAGGCAACGAGGTTAATACTGGCAGTTGCCTTTGTACATACACAACATTTATAGAAAACTACAGAGAATGTAACCACATAAAAGTTATTCAGGATTAAAGGTTAAAGACAACATTAAACTGCCTCTCAATAACAATAACATATTCTAAAGTAAAATGAGCAAACGATCTCTAATCTCAAGCAAATAGAATTTAGCCTATCATTATTGGTGAATTCAATTCCTACAACTCACCGTTCTAAAATTTGGTGATACTTTTGATGATAACATTCTGATAAGTCTCAAAATCTAAAGGCATAGAAAGTCTAATTTTGTTGTCATATCCCATTCCCTGCCAAAATATATTAAATTCATAATCAATTATGTGACACAAAATTGACTGCTAGAAATAAAGATAAATTAAACAGGATCCTTACCCCCCGAGGAATGCATTTTTCTAAGATGTATAATTTTTTCTCCCTAGAAAACTAATTTTTCTTAGAAGTAATGGCCTATGTCTGAGTCCTGGATCACCTTTTAATCATTTAACATGTCCAGACTACCCTCTTCTCCTCCATGGGAATACTGAGGTTGTTGTGAGGATCAGATGAGATTTTTTTGCAAGAGTACTTTGTATTCGTCTGCATGCTGTATAAATATAAGGTATTACAACGATTGTTATCACTGCTAGATCTGTTGACAATTATCTCTACTTCATCAGTGTCAGGGCAGAATTCAGCAATTAATTGCTCCATTTTGCTGAGTTTCCTACTCATACTGGTTTTAAGCTCCTTTTCTAGACGTGTCATTGTATATGCTTTTAGGGTCTCCTACAGTGGCGTATTTAGTACTGGAGAACTGGGTTTCCAAATTCTTCATATATGAATGCACAAGTCCAATATATTTTAACACACTACCTTCACTGCAAGCCTGTCTCTGTCTGTACTTTTATACAGTATCTTAACAAATATGAAATTTCCTGTTGGTTATCCAGATGTCATTCTTTTTATATGTCAAACATATGATTTGTCTCTTTTTACTAAACTAACAAGACATTGAGTAACAAATACACAATCTTAAAATGATGAGGATCAAACTGAGAGACGCTTTCAGGACAATGAGAAAACTGCTTGGCAAATAATGGGGAGATATACATTTAGGTAAATAAGAATGTTGTCTTGATACAGTCATGCTTCTTTTTTCTTTTTCCAATACTTTTTAATTAAGGCCAACATAGAATCATTGTGGACTCTCTTTCCCCCAAAAGAAGACTTGCACAAGGAGCATCTTGTTTCTAATGTCCTGTTCATGTTCATTTGGCCATCAGTCCAGGAAGTACCCCTGGTGTTGCTCCACAGTAGGAAATGTCCTCTAGGTTCTAGTTGTTAAGAAGCCTACAGGGGAACTTTTGAGCACTGAATCCCCGGAAATTAAAAGGGGTATGTGCATTCATTTTGGCAATGCAAAGCAATATCAACAAAGAAAAAAAAGCATAAGGAATAGTAACAGTTACTAATTAAAGGGCTTTATAGTTTATGAAATACTGAAACTGTTAACAGTAATATAAAATAGTTTAATTTTATGATTTCTAAACTTGTAAAGAGCATCACTACAAAGAAAAAAAAAGATTCTCTTCCAGTTCACTTTCACATTGGTTGCAGTGTTTTCCTGAGGGAAAGTGCTCTTGAGAGCTTTTATAAAAACAAATTTAAGTGAGAGACAACTTTGCAACTCTCATGTTATACTGATAATAGTTATATATATGGAGAACTCAACCATCAGTCCCAGAATTGTCATTCCTTATGTTTCCAAAAAATAGAAACCAGTCCTCCTTCAGTACTAATGACCTACTTCTCTCAGGGCATGTTCAAAAACAGTCCTTAAAAATTGGAAAATTTGGGATGGGGATTTTTTTATTTCCCCGGGAAATCTACTCTGTGGTCAAATTGTTAGACCATTCAAAGTGAAGACAAAAACTCAAGTTTCACAAGAGGCGCTATGCACCAACAGCAATTAAAGCACTACTCTACGTCCATAAAATCTTACAGTTTCCAAAGAGGAAAAACTACTCCAACTAGTTATTTATGCTGATTAAACATTTTACTACCTTTAAAAAGCACTTGTACTGTGTTCTTTGTTTTTTTGGAGAAATGTATAATACAGTGCTATATGTGTTCCATGAAAGGGTAACTCCTAATTATGGGAGGGAAATACTGTTTTTCCTTAGAGAAATGATTTGCTTGGGTCCTAAGTAAATCTGACATGTTTCCTTTTGAACAGTTTTGGAGCCAGTGTTTGTAAATGTGGTGAAGTTTATTTCTAAACAGGCATGGACTGAAGCTGTGATTCTTGAATCACTGCAGAGTGCTCTAACTGTATTTTTATTTTGCTTAGAAAATAATCCCTAGATCGAGACTGTTGTGGCTTTATAAACAATCTGTAAGGAGTTTTATACACAGATGTATACAAGCACTATACGTTCATGATCTGCGATAGGAGAGAAAGATTTTCACATATGGGTCAAAAAATTAAGATGTGGAGCAATAAAAAAATTGGTTATATGTACTTAGATTCTTTTGGTACCCAAATATCTAAACATGAAGAGTATAATCTGAAGCTCATTACGCGATTGCGTAATGGTTTTCATTGTGAAGGGTGCGCACTAACAATACCTCAGCTTAAAATTTGATTTTTACAAGTTAGGAGGTTTCAAAAGGCAATAAAAATCCATTGCTTTTCCTTTGCGTTTGTAGCTAATTTAATCATCTTAAATTCTAACAGTTTCCCCCCCTTTTTATAGTACCCATAAAATTACCTTCCAACATTTAATGGCTCTTCTTGAAAGCCAATTGTTTTGATCTCTGGGGAACCCAGAAACAATGTAACGCACCTGTGGGGCTAGTGTGTAAAGGATGCTTAACAATGGGGAAGTCTAGATGGGAATTAAAGCCAACACAGAAGGAATGCAGAATACCCAGGAAAAGACTTCTCTGAAGCTCAGCCACAGGAGTAAGGGATCTACCAGGGAGGTCTTCTTAACGGAACATTTGGCAGTTTATCTTAAGCAAAGGGAATTCACTCTCTGCAGCTTATAGATAGGGAAAACAGCATGCTTCCTTGTTTTAAAGGCACAACAATTTGTACTATACAGTGTTACGGATTAAATATGAACTCTAGACACCTTCCTTCCAGCTGCAATTCTTGGGTAAAGTTGCAAGCACACGGCGACAGATTTTCTGTGACCCTCCCAGTCACCTGCCCATTGTCATTTCAACTACGCTGGATGGACACCCTGATGACGTCTGCAGCAATAACTGGGCAGCTCTCTGGCATCGCTGGCAGCGGTACTGCATTGCCACACTCTTTCACCGTGCATTTCGAGATATCCTGCAAGGCACATTGCCGTTTATTTATTTATTTGGCTTCCCTGACGAACACCAGAGGGTTCGTTACTAAGTCTAGAACTCAGTCCCTGCTCGCAGGGGATAGGAAAGGTTAGGGATGGGAGGGGGCGTCCCCACCGAGCCCACCGGGGAGTCACACGTGGTACCTTGTCGGCCTGGGGGCTGATCGCGGTGCCGAACCTGCAGTAGGTGACGAAGTGCTCGCAGTTGTTCCACAGGAGGCTGTAGGGAGTCATGCCCAGCAGCTTCTCCGCCCTCCGCGCCACCTCTTCGTTGAGCAGCGCCTTCTTCTTGAGGGACCTATCCAGGTGATTGACCAGGATGTCGGCTCCGTAGGCGAAGTCCTCCACTGTGTCCACGCGGATGCTGGCCACCCTGCCAATGACGCCCAGGATGAGACGCTTGTTGGATACCACCTTCTGCGTGAGCTCCTTGTCGTCAGTCAGGGCCAACAGGATGTCGGGCATCATATGGGCGACACGGTTGTCGCCCAGGTAGATGCCATAGTGTGTCAGGTGGGTCCGAGGCACCTCCAGCACGTCGCCGCGGAGAAAAGAGTTGATCTCATAGAAAGTGTTCCTTGCCTTGTCTTCGCCCGGGGCGCCTGAACTGAAGAGCTTGAAGTTGGAGATAAGGAGCAGCTTCTCCAGCACTAGTGACACCGCCTCCAGCATTGGGTTCTTCATCCTGCAGGGAAAAGTGTGTCTCGGGGGGACCGTCGCCACTCGGGCACGGCCGAGCCGGGCAAGGTGAGCTGGCCGGACAGGGGCGCTGCGCCGCTGCTCACCCGCAGGCCAGCAGCCCAGTGCCACGGGGCACGCCGTCTGTGTAGGAGGCAGTGAGAGAAAAAAGGGAGGGGGAGAAACCAGGAGATCGGCTTGGCCGCACCGCACTGGCGACTGAGGAGGATGAGGAGCTGGCGTCGGCTAGCCACGGAATCAGCGGGACCCGCCCCGCGAGCCCCAGGCCGGGAAGCGCACCTGGAGGCGGTGCCGGGAGCAGGGCCGCGCGCGGTGCACTCAACTGCGCCTTTTCTGTGGCCTTTTATCGCCCTCGAGGGGGCGGGGCCGAACGCCGTCACAGACCCAGGAAGAGATCTGATTGGGCGCCGGCGGCAAACGCCGCTCTCTGCGGTGTAGCGCGGGACCGCAGGCTCTTTGGAAGGGGCGGGTCGCCTCTGGGCTTCTAAGTTCCGCCCTGCGACCCCTTCCACATGCAGGCTTCCTCTTGCGCTGGATACCTTAGCACTTACCGCCTTTAAGCGGCCGTGTTTGGAGAGTAGTGGCCGAGGCGTGACCGCACAAAAGATCTTGCACCTGTCTAGACTGGGGCGTGTTCTGGGCATTTTGGGTCGTTTTCGGTGGAAATTGCCCTCGGGCGAGATTTCTGAGCAGAACCACCTCCCTCTAAAGGGTTCTCGGAGACCGCGGCTTACTAAAATATTTGCATATACTCTGGGAACTGTGCGCGCCTCGAAAGCCTGCAGACTCCTTCCTAAACTCCGTAGAGGCGTGGCCCCGCACACCGCGCACCCTCCTTCCCTTTAAATGCCAGGAATGCCCCTAGCTTTCAGCTGGCGCGCGGGTGGGAAGCGACCCCGCGGATGATCGGAACCCGCGGCGCCTCCGCGCTCAGAGGCACCAGTGACCGTTGAGCGTACGGCTCCCAACGCTCAGCACGTAAAACGGCGAAGCGCCCAACGTCCTCCTGGACGGCCAAATTCATGTCAAGTTTATTTCTCCTGCTTCAGGGTCACGTGGATCCAGCTTCGGTTCACCCACCGAAACTTTGCCGCTCTCTTAAAGCGCTGCCCCCCGGAGGTGACCAAGGAAGGAAGAGGTCCTGCCCCGCAGCGGGCCCCAGGCTTACCGGCGAGGCGGTACTGGGGAGCACTTAGGCTAGGGAGCAGCGGTCTCGGCGTCCGCGCCAGGCTTGGCACGCGGTGTCCAGACCCAGCGCAGAGTTCCGTGCTAACGCATTAAGTAAATGCTTGAATTCCTCGGACAAAGGCCGCAATGGAGAGCCTCGAATTGTTCCACAAAGCCTCCCTGTGTGGGGCTAATAGGTCTCCTCAGCGAGCAGATTCTCCGCTCGCCTGGGGGAGGGGCCTCCCGGCGGGTGATGGATGAAGGGACATTCATCTTACCTGGAAGATGAAGGGGACCATGGAGACCAGACGGGGAGGAGGCCGGCTCCCCATTATCCTCCGAGACCCGGCCTTCGCTCCCGCCCCCTATCTGCCAGTCGTCCCTCTTGCTGGTGACTTTTGTTCATTTCACAAACGATTTCGAATCACATTATAGTCCTGGCAAAGAGAAGAAAACTCCATTTCCCACAAAAGAATCGAAAGAGGAAGGCGGGAGAGGCAGTGGATGAAGAAATTTTAAGACATCCATTTCCCCAGTCTTACCCCAAAATTTAAAGAAAAGTGCAATTAGTGGGTAGCTTAAACTAATCAAACTCCACCGCACACAGGCGCTTGTTAGCGTCCGGCCAGCACACCAGCTCTGCGGCTGGACGGGAGCTCTGGGCAGTCTCTAGATATTTTTAGAAGTCTGATCCAGACCTTGCTGTACACCGTAACTGCAGTTACGTCGGACTGCAGACGAAAGTTTCAGGCTTCACCTTCCAGCAAGAGACGTCCGACTCTTAGGCGCTGCATGCGCTGGTCTGGTCCAGTTCTGGGAAAGCACGGATACCGGGGCCTCCAGGGTCAAGAGCCAAACGGCCCGGGGAGATCAAAGGGGACTTGGTAATTAGCGATTTCCGTCCCTAGTGGTCACTAACCCGGCTTATAACGCTACGACCGTCTGCACCCGGCGAATTTGCGGGAGACAAAAGCATGGAGAACTGCCTCAAGGCTTCACAGAGAACTCTTTTAGAGCAAAAAAAAATATTAAGGAGAAATCACCTATAGACCCTCCTCAATGGCCGCATCCCCACGGCGTTTTGTGAGAGGCAGGCAGCACCAAGCTGATTTGCATTTTTCTTTCTTTCCCGGTGGGGTTAATTTTTGGGAGTCACTTAAAGAAAAAAGGAGATGAGATTAATATGAGGCATGCCTCCGAGTACCTTGCTCAAGATGTAGGCATTCTGCTGTCTTGGGAAATGAATGGTGGTGGGGAGTGCCCATAGTTTCTTTCTTGAAGAATATTTTGCCTGAATGTTATGCTGTTAAATAAATGAATTTTTCTCATTGAAACTGTCCTAAAGCTGCCCTCTTTGCTTGCCTGCGGGAAATTCGGCTTTGAGGAGCCCGAAGGAGACAGTGGAAGGTCTTCGTTTGTCCATTTCTGAAGTCTCCTCAGATTTATTAAGCTGGGAGGGGTTAGTGAGGATTAGGCTGCTTTTCAACTGGGAAAATGCAGCGTCAAAAGAGCTCTTGTTGGCTGAACTGACTGCCCTCTCCTATTCAGCAATCGTTGAAAACTTCCCTTGCAACTACTCAACGTTCTCAGAGTTGCATATAAGTATGTCTGTGAGCGGTCACTTTTTGATGGCTCCCTAGAGGCACTCTTCATAAAAATATGTATATACACTAATAGGCTCACATTCCCACTAATACTTTCCTGCCTGAATCAATTTGAGCCAAACTAAGGGAAGACAATTGCTATTAGAAGGAAAAGCCCAAGAGAAATCTAACATCATAACTTTCTCCTTCCTAAATCAGAAGGGGTCATTTATTCATAGAGGGGAGAATCTGGCTTGGTAGAGAGACCCCTAGTTCCTCAGTTGTACGACATTCAACAAGTTTCGATGTGCAAATGCCTTAAATGCACTCAACTGGGTTGCTGGGTCTGGCTGGGGGATTGTGAAAGAGCCGTGGCCATCCTGGTCAACACGTGGACATCAATGCACTGTGGACTCTCTCCTCGACCACCCCTTCCTGCCATCCCACGGAAACTCGCAAGACAGCCACAGCATCTGCTCAGGCCCAGGTCCATGTCTCCCAGTGGTGAAGGCCAAGATTCCACTGGGTTTCTGCACAGAGGAGCCTGGAAACAGGGCTCACAGTGCCCACCTAACTTTCAGGCTTCACCTTCCTGCCATGGATCCCACTGAAGGTCCCAGGAGATAGGGCTCCTGTTTTCGGGGACAAGGGGTGGCGGAGTCCTGCAGAAGCCAGGTAGGCTAAGGGATTTCCTACCTAAAGACTTTTTACCTCTGGAGACCCTCTTCCTCAGAAGCCTTTGGAGGGGAGAATAGGATCACAGTCTCATGTGCTTCCTATGTGCTAGGCACTGAACTAACAAGCATTTTCTCACTTAGTCCTCATAGCCCTATGAGGTGTCCTCTCCATTTTACACAGGAAGAAATTGAGGTTATAGCTCAGTCTCTGTCACCGTGTTAGTGTGGATCAGGACTGAACCACAGGTTCTTTGCTCCCAGGTCCACCACCACTGGGGAAGGTCTGACCTCCCATCACTTCATCCACCTGTCATCCATTCATTTACTGAGTGCCTGCCATATGCCTGGCACTGTGCCCAGTCCTGGAAACTCAGTGAAAAACCCAGCCCTAAACTTAGATTCCACAGCTTTTCTTTTTAATTTGGACTTCATTTCCCTGCTTCTCTAGTGCCACGGATTCCAATTTTTTTTTTTTTTTTTTTTTTTTTGCGGTACATGAGCCTCTCACCGCTGTGGCCTCTCCCATCGCGGAGCACAGGCTCCGGACACACAGGCTCAGTGGCCATGGCTCACGGGCCCACCCGCTCTGCAGCATGTGGGATCTTCCCGGACCGGGGCACGAACCCGTGTCCCCTGCATCGGCAGGCAGTCTGTCAACCACTGCGCCACCAGGGAAGCCCTTTTTAACATCTTTATTGGAGTATAATTGCTAGATTCCAATTTTTAATGTCAGTTATTTTATTGCCATAGAGAAAGATCTGGTTCTGCTGGTTAACAGTATACCCTCACCAGGCAGGCCCCAGCACTGGAGTGGCCGGTAGTCCTATGCCCGCCTTAAAAACAGAAATAGGAGCGGGGTAGGTGTTGGGTATCTTGCCCAAGGACACAGAGTCAGAGCAGAACCTAAGTGCAGTGTCCCAGACTTCTTACCTCTTAGAACTTCTTTCTCCTAAACCTGATAAATCTGGCTTTCTAAACCTCCTGTTTTTGAATTATCATCCTTCAGGATTATTTTGTTGTTTTTCTTAGACTTTTTTAGATTATTACATCATTGGACACATAAATAATGATGGTCTTAACACGTTATTCTTCTGAATTAGCTGCCCATCTACTTTCAGTTCCTTTACATACGCTTAGCTCTGGCCCCATGGACACAAACAGGCCTTAACTAGCTAACTCTAAGGAGACAGGGAGAATAAAAGCTTTTGTGAACTTCCCTCTGGAGGCAGAGGAAAAAGGGCAGACACCTTTTCACGGAGCCTCAGAACCCAGGGCTGCCTGGAGTGTTTTCTGGCAGAATTCCATTACCTCCTGGGAGGAAGATTCCCCAGCTTCCTTCCTGGCTAGCTAGCACCTTATTATGAGGGCCTCAATCCTGCCTAGAGTCTTTAGAAAGATTAAAGGCAGCAGCTCCACCCAGACAGGATTTAGTTGTTTTGTTGTTGTTGTTTTGGAAACCATAAACTAAGAACACTAAGCAAAACAAGTAATTGACAGTTGATGTTGCAGAGAATCACGCCCCTGTAGATGAACACAGCTTACTATGAAGTAATCACAGGTGGGGGAGGCTGCGATGTGTGGGGAAGGGGGCAGAAACCCCGAGCCTAAGGCCTGTGCCACCCTTTCCACCCGCGTGAACTCTGACAAGTCGTTTGCCACCCACAGGCCTCGATTTCATTGCTCTAAAATGGCAGTGATATTTAGGAGGGCAGTTTTGAGGATTAAGCAGAACCACACATATTGCAGCATTGTATGAAGGTTCATACCGTGAAACCCCATCTCTAATATCATCTGTATTATTCACCAGTGAAACAGAGTAAGGCAGAGGCGCTTTTCCCTTTCTGCCTGGACAACATAGTCATCCAAGAATGCAGAGTAGACAAAGGACGTGCTTTTCCTCACAGACCCCTTCCGATGTCTCAGCACAGAGCCACAAGGGTGAGCGGAAAGTAGGCACATAAGTGTTTGGAGCTCTGCTCTCTCCACTGCTCACTGCCAAGGAAGTCCTCTATAATTCATAAAAACAAAGATAAAAACCTGCCATTTGTTCGAAAGTGCATCTCACAGGATGCAAAAAACCCCCAAAGGTCCATTTTAGAAATGGACATAATACCAGAGAATGACTAAAATATCTGAGATGTCCATGACACGTAGGGCACATTTCACTTTAAAATACAAATAGTAAATGGCAAGCAATGTTACTTCCTAATAACTTGGAGCAGATAGCAACTATCTTATAAATTCATCTTTTTTTTCCTTTTGATTCTAATTTACCATTATGAGGCAATAGTAAATACGAATATTGGGGGACCCAGGTTTGTTAACAAAAGCAAATGTGACAATAACCTTTGGCTACATATTCAAAAGACAATTACCACACCACTGTATTCATATAGGAACTGTACAGAGAAATCAGGTACTGTTACGCTTCAAACAGGATAACACTGGCGATTACCAGTAATGCTAACTACCAGGAACGGTGATGAATGCCATGTTATTGTTTATATTTCAAAAATCCTTTCTAAATACATAGACACCCAAAGGGTAAAATGGCAGGTAACTGAATACAGAACTTCCTTAACATCAGTCTTAGCTTTTGCTACTCATATCTGATGGTTTGTGAGATCACTGAGACTCGTGAGGCCTCATCTGTGAAGTGTGCTGAGCTGGATTAGAATGAGATGCTCTCTAAACCCCTACAGTGTGAATGGTCCCTGGACCTATGAAAATCAAATTACTCAGGCCCTTCAGAGAGTCTTAGCTGTTGTCCTTGGTGAATTTTCACAGTGAGTAATTAACACAAAAAGAAGATAAATCACTGTCTACTAATTAGAAAATCTAAATAGTGTTCACAATGACTGCTTTAAAAAGTGCAATGCCTCAACTGAATTAAAAAAAAAATTAAAAAAGAAATCACTCATACTCCAGTGAAGCAGTAATTACACAAGGAGGAGAAAAGAGACTGAGCAGGGGTTTGGCAGCAGTTCATGCTGGAAATCAATGACTCTTTTGATAACATCTGTTCAATCGTACAGAAATTTTAAATAATGTAAACACACTGTTTCATCAATATTTTGTAGCAGTATATACCACTGATTGTTGAAATGAATGTCTTTAATTTCTAAAGTTAATTTGAAGGGAAGTGAGTGTACCGTTCTGGTATTTTTGTAATTACATTTACTCTTACCCACCCCATGCTAAAAGAAAATCCAATGCGGTTCAGCTAAAGCTGATTCATACCTAAACAGCTCAAGCAGTTATAAAAAAGGGAAACTGGATTTTAAATTGTCTCATACTTCTTAACTGGCAGAACTCCAAGTGGGCAGCTCTCTCATGAAGAACCAGGCTGCCTGTGTTCTCCAGGGTAGGCACAAAACTTTGTGCTTGAATTAAGTTCACTTATTTTTACCCTGGTTACCCTCTAAAATGACTTGCCTTTATGTTGGATTACATAAAGTTACTTTCATTTTATTTACACCCAGACTTCACCTGTAAAGAATGTGAGCAGAATAGAAATTGGATCACACAGAATTAATATGGAAAATAAATTCAATAACTTTTTTCCTTAAAGATGAATTAAAAATCTTTGAAATTGTTTTCATCCACATAGGAGTTTAAATCAGAAATCACTGTAATTTTAATGTTCAACTGGTTTAACTTTCAAAAAGAATAAACCAGGATATGCGTCCTCTGGTCATAATTATTTCACATTTTAACACGTGTCTCGCACTTTCTCTTTTCCCATCTTCATTCTTTTACCTCTCTTATTTAATTCCTGAAGGGATGGTTCTGATATTTTTTCGTGGTATCCTCTAAGGGCACTATTCCCACTGGAGGACAGATGGCATCCAGAAAATCAGGGTCCTAAGTGTGTTCTGGAACCTGGGAATGCAGGCTCGCAGCACAAAAGTGGGCTCAGGGCCCTTAGATCACTGGCCTCATCCTCTAGGGACTTGCCTCCCAAAGAACAGTAAGTAACCAAACCAGCCAGGCAAGAACCTCCAGTGCCAGGCCAGACTCAGCAACAGGGAAGCCACTGGAGAGCGACCCTGGCGCTGGGCCTAGAGGTTTAGCCAGACTTAGACACCCTCAGCATCAGTATTAGATTTCCTACACTCAGTCCTATATCACCAAGAATATTGTCACAACTTACTTTGTGATTCTAAGTATATTGGTTAAACTTTTCATGCCCTGGTCCGCTCATGTACAGAAGCGGTGACTGGCGATGATGACTCTCCTGAACTTTCTGGAATTCAATGTAGCAATAGCTCTAGACAGTCCTGCACACCTCACCACCAAGTCAAGTATAAGATGACAAATCTAAACTCTGTGTCCTCAGACTATGGTTCCTCCTGCATTTGTGTTTCCTTTTGTTGAAAGGGAGCAGATTTTCTTATATGTCTTTTATGGCTATACCATTTGCTTTTCAAGTAACAATTTCTGATTTTTGTCCTTTCAAAAAATAATAAAGTGAGGCCTCCAATGTAGAATATCTAGCAGAGGTTTATTCTTTTTCAGAATTACAAATTAAGGAAGAATAACTACAGAAAGAGTGATTATTGATATTGTAAAAAAGATGTATTGCCAAGGAGCTATTTTAATAAATGTACTTGACCAAAAATGTGACTTTTTAAAACTCATTTCAGGGGCTTCCCTGGTGGCGCAGTGGTTGAGAATCCGCCTGCCAATGCAGAGGACACGTGATCTCGTTCCCTGGTCCGGGAAGATCCCACATGCCGCAGAGCAACAAAGCCCATGTGCCACAACTACTGAGCCTGTGCTCTAGAGCCAGTGAACCACAACTACTGAGCACATGCGCCTAGAGCCTGTGCTCCACGAGAGAAGCCACCGCAATGAGAAACCCACGCATTGCAACAAAGAGTAGTCGCCGCTCGCCGCAACTAGAGAAAGCCCGCGCGCAGCAACAAAGACCCAACACAGCCAAAAATAAATAAATAAATAAATAAATAAATAAAATTCATTTCAGCAATATTATCTAGAAATGTATCATCCTTGATTAAAACAGTAGTCATAAATCTTCCAAGTTCATGGTGGGCATTCAATAAAAACTCCTACTTACAATTTTATCTTAACCAGTGTATTTAAAATTTTAATTATAAGTTACTCATATTTGAATTAGTTAAGAATCTTAAATCCATTGGCTAGTATTTCAAAATTATTCCTGTGTTTAAGATTGTATTGCCTTGGGTAAAGGGTCATCTTTTTGAGTGACCTTAAAAGTCCCTTTGATTCTAAACTTCCACACTTCTTTGAGAAACACAAAAGTAGTACATTTTAGTATTTTCCCGCTAGCCAAATGTCAAATTTATAAAGCAAGTCATAATGCTAATAAAATAGTAGCATAATTTACATTTTATTTAACTATTTTAAAATTGCAGGTTATATATCAAAAAATTATTTATATAAGTAAAATATTCCCAAATAGATTAGATGAAATGTGCTGAGTCATAATATCTGTGTATTCCTGAAGTCACATACATTTGTTCCTCCCAAATAAGTAAAAACCAAGGGGTAGGCTGAGTCAGCACACTACAAGTAGAAACGGTATGGGGCAGTTGTTAAGAATGTCTACTCTGTAGCCAAGTTGCCTGAGTTCAAATCCTGACTCTTTTACTTAGCTCTGTGACCTTGGGTAATTTACTTAACCGCTCTGGTCTCAGTTACCTGCTCTTTAAAATGAGTATGATGATAAATATGATGCCTACCTCCCAAGGTTGTTGTAAGGATTAAAGAATGAACATGCATATATTATTAATTTAAGAACAATACCTAGTTCTTATTCAAGAAATGATGGCTACATAATAGATTTCATTCTGGAACACATTTAGCAATCTGCGGATTATCCATAGCTCTCATGTACATTTGCAAGAGGCGGCAAAGATCCACACGGTAGTAAGAAATTCTGTGAATGGGGATGGGAGAATTCTAATCTCTAACCTACCTCCATAAGGATTTGTGGAATATTTCATCTCAGGTTCTATGTGGGCTCAGAAATACAACAGTGAATGAGGTGCAGTCTCTTTCCTAATGGAACATAGAACCTGGCCAGGAGGAGACAGGCCTAAATAAACTTACATAATTCAGTGTGATGTGCTGAAACGGAAGCATGTACTACAGGTTCTGGGAAATGGATGAAGGAGCAATTCATTCTAACTGGGGCAGGGAAAGTGGGAGCTGGGATAACGCCGAAGTTGTACCGTGAGGAGTTTGTTAGGCACACACAGTAGAGGTAAGTTAATGCCAAACGGCCAGGCAGGCTAAGGAAACATGAATAAAGGCAAGATGTTTTAAAAGTGTCTGGTAGGTTTTACCAAGAGCAATAATGCAGCTCAACCAGAATGTAAGGTGTATGCTTCTCTAAGAGCAGAGGCTAGAGCCCTACCCAGGAGGTTTGAGGGGGCCGTGGAGGCCCCCTAGACCACGCCAGGAGCTCAGACTTTATTCTGCAGGCAGTAGGGAGCTGTGAGAGGCTTTCAAAAAGGGGAAAGAGAAGGTCTGGGTTGGAGAGAGAAGGGAGAGAAGCTGGAATCAGAAGGCCATTTAGCAGTCCAGGGAAGAGAGCTAGAATAAGGGGAAGGAGATGGAGGGGCAGGGGAAAAGCTGAAAGGTATTTGTGGAGATAGACTGACAAGGTTTGGTGACCATGAGGTAGTGCTGGTGGCCAGAGTGCTCAGAGGAATACGGGGACCCGGGGGGACTCTGAAGTTTCTTGCTGGAACAAGTAGACAAGAGTGAAACCCTTCACGGAGAGGAAGAAGGGAGAAGCAGGAATAGGTTTGTGGGAGGAAGAAAATGAGTTCAGCTTGGGGTCTGTTGTTTCCAGAGTCTACAGCTTTTCAAGTGGGGACGTTCATAGGCAGATAAATGGTGAAGCAAGATCTATGGAGAAGAATCTAGCCAAGAGAAAGAGCTATGGGAGTCGGAAGCATGCGGGTAGCAGGTGAAGTCTTTGGAGGAGGGGGAGCTGCCAGGGGAGGCACTCAGCATGGAGGAGGGGCGGCCAGGACAGAGCTCTGCAGAAAGGGAAGGGGCACTGAGGCATCGCCAAGGTGCCTGAAGCAGGAGGAGAGGCTGAAGAAAGGCGCGGAGGAGGGCGGGCTCAGAAGTGTCCAGGGCAGACAAGCTAGCAAGGGGGTCAAGGGGCCCTTGGATGAGGCAATAAGGAAGGCCCTAGTGCTGGGAAGGGGGCCAGACAGCTGCGGGTGGAGGCAGTAGGGTTAGGCAAGGGGGAGGGCCAGGCGAAAAACGGAGATGATTATTTCCAAAAATTCTGCAGTGAAGAAAAGGAAAAAAGGATCAAATGGAAGGTTTCTTGTTGTTTGTTTCTTTCTGTTTGTTTTAAGGGGGAACACATGAGGATATCTGTACATAAAAGGAAGGGAAATCGGGGAAAGGAAAAATGTATAGCTGATGGAAGTCAGTCCCAGAGAAAGTGGGACTCTGTGGGACCAAAGCTCCAGGTAGGAGGAGACTTAGAGCTGGTGATGAGTAAGGATTGCTATTCCCCTGAGTCAGGAGAGCAGGAAGAAGATAAGAAACGGAGATTTGGAAACATCTGGAAGTGGAAGCAAAAAGACGACATTGCCCTCACCCACTCACTCTAGTTTGTGCTGTAGACTCTGAAGAAGAAAACTGCCAAACCCAACCCGCTGGCAAAGTCTGCATAGATGCCTCAAGATTTGATGCAACAAGGGAACTCATTCCAGTTGATGGGTGTATAATAAGCTGACACAGTGACAGCAGGCCACTTGCTTATGGCACAGATCTTAATGAAAAATGAGAGAGTTCTGAGTTCCATTCCTATTCAGAGCATTTGTTTACAGTAAATTTTACAAGCATGTTCCCAGGAACTTGATCTTTTTTCTCCCAATTTGTCAAGTAACACTAAGCTCTTCCTTAGTGATGTCAATCTCTAGTATTAAATTAGAGGTGTGGTGGGGTGCTGATGAGGGAATCCTAGTCATGATGGACACTAAGGAAAATCAGAATCATCAGGATAATTCATTAAAATTCTTACACACATTTTTATTATGTCAAATCGTTTCAAAATTATCACCAAACTATTTACTACAAAACAGAAAATATTTATAGTTAAGTTAAAAGTGTTTTGTCCCCTGGACTAAAATGCAAAAATAATTTTATGGCCAACCTTGAACTTAATTTGAGTTCAAAGTATTAGGTCACTATACTATTAACTTTCATCAAACTCTTTCCTACTGAGAAGGATAAAGTATTCAAATATTTTCTATTTTCTCAAAATCAGTGTGAGGATACTACGAATGTGTTAAAATTGTATAAGTAATTGATAGACTGCTTCTTTGAACCTGAACTTAATCTGTACACTTATGCATGAAGATTATTTAGAATAGGTAATAAGATGTTTAAACAACAAGGAAGAGGAAGATACTCTTTAAACAAATCACAAGATTAGCCGAGCTTGGATTTGGGTATCAGAGAGAGATACGCTAAAAGTGAATATATTATTAAACAAATCACAGTTTATTAAGGTTTTAAAGTGTATGCTTTACAGAATAAAAGAACACCTTTATCAAATGCCTAGAGAATATATCTATCAGTCTTCTTGTCTGTCTCATATGTTAAATCTTTATTGTTTATAGTTCTGTGTTAAAAATCACCTACTCTCTTCTGCTTTCCAGTGACCACATTATTAATGCTGGTATTCAATCCACTCAAGTGGGTGTTTACTTATAATGAGTATTTTCTATATCCTTTTACCTTGGATTCAATTTTTCACTTGTACTAAGAAACAATAAGTTTCCCAATGCCAAAACTCTTTATCCATCTACTAATGACTTTAAATCAGGAACACATTTTATCTGAAAGTCCAGTACCATTTGTCCAAGTGCTTTGCCCTGTTGAACAAAACAAACAGAAATGTACTGAATGTTCAGAGGATTCTATTATAGTTATTAATTTTCATGTCACACATTTTTAAAAAGTGACCTCTATTTAAATGATTTGGATAAAAAAGATTTTATTTGATAAAATGACAATTAAGAAATTTTAAAAACACATACTAAGGGAACACAGTTACAAATAAAATATATTACTTGGTAGATGAATTCTAGGTTAAGCACTAATGAAAAAAGTATGACAGTAGAACTACAGAGAAGCTGAACTGAGGATAATTTATGTAGTTCTGGCCTTTTAAAGTTTGGATTGAGTAAAATTATTTCTATGACTTCTTACATATTTTAATTTGAGATATTGATTAAGTACATGATGTGGAAAGAAATATAAAAGAGATACAGAGGAGGATAAAGATCATTCAATTTTGAAAATTTCGTTTCAGGACAGTTCTACTGAGAATATTTTTCCTATTTTCGATGCCTCAGAATCACTTTAGGAGCTATTTACAAAGCAGGTTCCTGAGCCCCACATCAAGAGCTTCCAAGTGAGTAGGTCTGGTGTGGAGCTAGGAATCTTCATTCTAACAAGCACCCCAGGTGATTCTGAGGCAGGGAGTCCTCACACCTTGGGAATCATTGAAGCTTGTTTTTCTTCCTTACAATTCTTCCAAACCTTGGATCATTGCTGAGAGGTCATGGGGCCAGGTGAGGTTGACAGTGGAGTCCAAATGGTAAGGAACTCCCACACACATATGTGAGAACCTAAGAGATACGCCCACTAAAAAGGTATTGTAACAATACATTTATTAAAAATTACACAGCCACCACCAGTTGTCAATAATAAGTAAGAAGATCTATCCATAGCAAAGTTTCAAAATAATGGCAAAATTTAAGGCTAAGTGATACACTGGACTGAGTTAAAGTTACAGACTTTTGTTCCTTCCTGGGATGACCCAGGCATATTTGAACCCAAAGCCATAGTATCTGGCATCAGCTTATTCTGCACCATGGTTATAAGATAACAATTTTCTTTACCTCAAATAATGGCTCTTCTTAACCTATAGAATACTAAATACTCTTCAGTTTCAAGATTAAGTCATATATTAACTATTTTCTTAAACGTCGAGATATGCTAAGTTTTTTCTCTTGTTATATGGTCTTCAAATCCCCTAAAGTGACACTCACTAAAATGAAAACAATTAGGTTTCACTAAGAAGTTATCTAAAAAAACTTCACTCCTGTTTTATTCCTCATTCTGAACTGAGAGCTCTGTCGTATTAGTGTATATGTTTCATAGAATGTTGTTGATACAGGCTGGTGTCAACAACACATGGGAAAATACGCAAAAGAGAAAGCGCTCACTGTTTAGATGCTTACCTGTGAGTCAGTTCTCAGTGAGGCAGTGCCTCCACCACCAAGGCGATTTTTCAAAACAAAGTTTAATGCATATGTTCCTGGCAATTCATATCTATGGAGTTAAAAAAAGAAAAGATGAATTATAACAAATTTTACCAAATACAAGAACTGCTGAAGGAATTATCCACCTCCCAAGGAAACCCTACAAGTCAGCCTTTGGATAGCCGTGAAAAATTAAGGTTGGAGACTTAAATGTAAATATGAATGTAAACAGATATTTTACTCAAGAATGCAATGAGGCTATTCACCCAGGATATTTTCATTCAAAAAAGAAAAGCACTTGGTAAATGGGAAGAGAAAAGCATTTTTTTCTTTTAACTTTTACCTAATTACAAACTTCTAGAACAGTTGCAAAAATATGAATTCCCTATATTTTTCACCCAGATTTTCCGAATCTTGCTTTATCCTTTCTTTTTCTTTCTTTCTGTGCACACACACACATACACACACACATTCATAAACAAATATGTACTATTTTTTTCTGAATTGTTTGAGAATAAGCTGTAAATATGATGCCCCTTTACCCCCAAATCCTTCAATGTGTTTCCTAAAAGTAAAGACATTCTCTTATATATATCACAGTATAATTATCAAAATCAGAAAATTAACGTTGCTACAATTATCTAAACTACAGATTTATTCAGAATTTGCCAATTGCCCCAGTAAAGTCTGTTACAGTGAAATAAAGTTCTAAATCATACATTGCAGTCAACTCATGTTTGGTTGTCTTCTTTAATCTAGAACAGTTCCTCAGTCTCTTTCCTTCTCGACACTAACATTTCTAAGGAATACAGGCCTGCTATATCCACCAAACTGTATTTGATGTTTCCTCATGATTAGATTCAGGTTCTGCATTTATGGCAGGAATGCACAAGAGCGATGATGTTTCCCTTCTCATATCAGTATGCATGTGACATTGATCTGTCCCATTATTAGTGAGAATGAAAAAAGAAGTGCCTGACATCTGGGATCTGAGGATGCCACCAGCTAGGCCTTGGTGTTGCTAGGAGCTGGGCTGGCACTCATAGCTGGGCCTTGGTGTTCTATCGCACATAAACTATTTCCTGAAATGTCAATATTAGCCAAGGCCACTCTGTGACATTGTGACAAGACCCTTCCATTATCATGCCTGCACACAGACAAAATAATAATATTGTCATCATTATACAAATGGCCAAACATCCCTCTATCCTAGCTGATATGTGCACCTGTGATTTCTTTATCAATTATAGCTCTAGTTTCAGTCTAGTCTTCCTTCCTCCTGTATAAGATTTAATGAGATACCCAAGACAGAATTAACCCCGCTTCCTGACAGCTTCCAATCCCCAGGCACTTTCTTAACCCTTCTCCCAAGGGTTGACTTAACAAGCCCACATCCTGAGTCCTTATTCACACCCTCAGGGTTTCCCACGCGTGCATTTGCCCTCACTGCTTGTTCAATTACAGGAGTGTTCCTGGCAGTCTTAGACTGCAAGGCACTGACACTAGTGATGATAACTTTGATCAAATGGTTAAAGGATGTCTGCCTGGTTTATCCATTGTAAGTAACTATTTTCCTTTTATAATTAACATGTATCTTATAGGGGGATAGTTTGAGACTATGTATATATCCTGGTAATAATATCCAACTTTCTTTCATAGTTTTTGCATCCACTGATGATTCTTGCCTGAATCAGTTATCACTAAGGTGTTTGCCTGTGATATTGTGATTTATAATGTTATCCAACTCAGGTTTGGCTCCTTGCCACTTGAGAGATGAGTGTCAGTTGGGAAGGAAAAGTTACTTTATTCAGGAAGCCAGCAAGCTGGGGAGAAGGTGGACGCATGTCCACCAACTCCAAAGATTCTACTTGAACGTGAAAGTTTTTAAAGGGAGAATCCTTTGGGGAAGGGATCAGAGTTGTTATCTTCCACTGTGTGCAGACTTTCTTTGATTGGTTGGTGGTAACAGGACAGTGCTTCAGGAATCTTGTGCCCAGCCTGAAGTTACCATCCTCCATCTGGATGGGGGCCTTAGTTCCTACAGAAGAACTCAAAGATTTTGTTATGTATATTCCTTGAGGAGGAACCAGGACCCTGCCCCAAGGCTGCACTATTGTTTCCTGACTCTCCTCCTTTGTTTCTGCATCCCCTCCCTTCCCTGATAAGCAACTGTTTGAATCTGCCCTTTGGAACTCAGGGAAGGTCAAGGAGGTTGAATGAAGCCTATTTCCTACAAGCAAGAAACAGAAGACACAGAAAGGATTTGTACCTGGGAGAGCCCTACAGGATCCTGCTCTGTTTCAGTAAGAAATATATATTTGGTCTTCCTCCCCATTTCAGGCACAAAGCTTCTAAAACACTTGGAATTTCTTAAGAAGTGCTGAGAGGGATCAAGGTGTCTTTTGTTATGTTAATAAAGTGGCTTTTGGAATGTTCCTAGATCACCTAAGGATGGGGGTTGTTCACTAAAGGAAATAACCACATGATTAGAGAGTTGAAACTTTCAGTCCCATCTCCCTGACCTTCAGGAATTGGAGAGGGGTTGGTTGGACATGGAATCAACTGCCAAATGGCCAATGATTTAATCAACATGCCTATGTAATGAAGCCTCCTTAAAAACTCAAAAGGACAGGGTTCAAGAGAGCTTCCAGGTTGGTGAACACATGGAGATGTGAGGAGAATGGACACCTGGAAAGGGCAGGGAAGCTCTGTGACCCTTCCCCTATGTATCTCTCCCATCTGGCTGTTCCCAAGTTGGATCCTTTTATAACAAATCAGTAATCTAGTGAGTAAATGGGTTTCCTGAGTTCTGTGAGCTGCTGTAACAAATTAATTGAACTCAGTGAGGGGGTTGTGGGAACCTTTGATTTATAGCCAGTTGGTCAGAAGCACAGGTGAAAATCTGGACTTGTGACTGGAGTCTGAAGGGGTGGGGGGGATAGTGTTGGAACTAAGTCAAACTGTAGGACACTCAGTTGTCCAGAGAATTGGTGGTGGTGTGGGAACACCCTCCCAAGTTGAAATTGGGTCCAGGAACCCAAAATATTGTCGAATAGTAATATTACTATTTTCATCATTCTTTCTACAGTAAGGAGTTAGATTTCTATCATAAGGAAAAGCTTTCCATTCTCCCCTACATACTAATGTTGTTTTCAACTTCATTGTATTTTTATTTTATTCAATGGATTACAATCCATAAACATTTAATTTATTTTGATGGTCAAATTATTGCAAGTTTGTCTTGTGGGAGCTCCTTCATAATGGCCCGGGTCTTCTTTTGCTTTGTCTCTGTCATTCTTTGAGCATTTCTCTACTTTCTGCCACCACAAGATGTTCCAAGCTCATCTTTTTCTTCCCCATCCCAGTCCTACAATCATCATTTCTCACAGCCCTTGTTCTACTTCTGGGTAGAATAATATTTAGAAATAAAAATTTGGACACTTGGTATGTTCATTGCTACTGGAGTGTCACTGCTTCTAGACTCTCTTGGCCCACAGAAAAAGGAAATAGCTGTATATACATACACATACATGTATACACAATATATGTATATACACACACGTACATAGGTACATGCACACATATGTTGTACTCTACACATCGATTTCCTTTCTCTTTATATATTAAAAACCATGAGTTTATCCTGATACCTCCAATCTAATCCTGCAGAGGTCCTTCTAGAGTCAGACTGCATTTTAAGTACACTCGAGCATCATGAATAAGAGTACAGAGCATGCCCTCAACAATGGCAGCTGTAATCAAGGAGGCATTTACAGGATAAGGATGCTATGGTCCTTATGGACATGAATGTCCAGTACTGTGTTTAGCAATCCCTCTGCCTAAAGCCCTGATGAGAGTCAAGTGATAAGTTTCTTCCAGCTACTGCCCTACAGTTATTCGTTAGTCTTCCCAAGTCTCAGCAATGGTAATGGTGGCCTTCATATCAGCAACGGGCTTCCATCAATCCTAAATTGATTTTTTCCCACTGTTTCATTGACAATTAGTTTGAAGAAGGCTTAGCCCATGGTAAAACTTGCATTTTAACATATACAAAATTCCTTCCAGTTTCTTTACTACAGTTTCAGCACCAGCACTAGCATACTGCTATCAGCCTTAGAATTGAAAACTGTTTACCAGGACAAAAAGTGGGTGGTAGAAAAAAAGAAGTCTACACATAAAGCATATCTTGTGTTAATCATGAGGCTGGTATCAGGATGAATTATTTTTCCTCTGAAATTTTTGCCTTCAAGCTTTTGATCATGGACTAAACCAGGTACCATGAAGTATATGCTGAAGTCAGAATATCTCAAGAGACAGTTCATGAGAGTGTTCCAGGGAAGATTTATTAATGACCACAAGACAAAGTAACATTGTATCTTCTGTCCAGTGTTCACTGCACTTACAGCATGGGGAAAATATATATGTACACACACCAGGTGGAATGTGGGCTTAATGAGGAGATTGAAAATTATATGAGAACTGTTATTAATCATACTTCTATAATTACTAAAATTATATTCTCAAAAAAGTCTGCTAGTGAATTTCATGTGATACAGAATTCTCCCCAGACTTTTTTCATTCATTTCTTGATTTACTGGACAAATATTTCTATGCAGGATATATCCTAGTCTTCCATAACAATCCAGGGCAGCGTGTGACAAGAGAATAACATAAGGTCCTTTACGAGCTCAAAGAAGGTTGAAATGTTGGCCAAAATTGATTCATATTATACAAAGCTGAATCACTTTAAGCACATCAGTGCTAGATCAGGGCAAAGCCCCAAATCCACATGTGCCACACAAGCCATCATGCTTTATAAGCATCAATGTCCAACTAATGCAAGAGAGGTACACCTGGTTACAGAGAGGGAAACTGTGAATGAGATCAACAATTTATCTGCAAAAACAAATAATCATACTTCAGATAACTAAGAATCAAGATACTAACCTTAATATTTTAAAACTGTAAAAATATTTTACCAGAGACTTGAAAAACATAAATTCCAGAATCTTGTTCAAACTAGCACCAAACTAAGCTCATGATACCCACATTATTAAATTTTGGATCACT